TGTTTCAGGGTTCTATCTGTGAGTTAGCTATGCCCTGACTTAGATCAGCCCAGAGGTTGTTTCAGGGTTCGATCTGTGAGTTAGCTATGCCCTGACTTAGATCAGCATGTCAATAAAATTTGTATTGAGCAAAAATTCACTCATCTAATTTACTAAACCCTTCCCATCTCCTTAAGGTTTTTCAGACAGTACAAATTAATAAGATGAACTAACAGGTGTCTGTTATTACCTTCCTTGTTCAGGGGTGATAAAAGTGTATGACGTCCCTTTGTTACCGGCACGTCCTGTTCGTCTGGTAGAAAAAAATATGACAAAAGTTGAATGTACAATTGTTATTCTTCAATTATTGTTATTCTTCGTTACGTTATCGCGGCCATGTTTGTGCCATTTAACAAAAGATTTCTCATTAGCATCCATCGTTGACGGCACCACAATGGCCGCCATGTTTTTGTCTTTTGACTCTCTTGGGAATGCTTGCAACCATCAATAGACTCGTTGCAGCACCTTGGAATGCAGCTCAATCTGGGGGACAAAACAATATGTTCCAATTCTCAGGAGATTGGAATACTTTTGTTTTGTCCCCCAGATGGAGCTGCTTTGACGTCACATGCAAGGGTTCTATTGGCCTTTCCGAGGTTGCGCGAATTTTTCGCTAGCAACATAAAGAAAGATAATTCTCATCTTTATAGACTATCCAAGCACAAAAAAACCTTAATAGTCACGACATTATAAAAGAAATACTTTACCCAACACGATGTACATAATCTTCATAATGGTTAGGACAGTCATAGTTTACTACAAGGTTGAGGTGTTTGACATCCAGCCCTCGTGCAGCGACCGAGGTTGCGATCTGTTAGAAAATAAAACAATGACAAGCAGTTATGGATTATGAACCCCTTTAATAAAGTGGAATTCATTGCCAGCTCTATAAAAATAACTTTAAAACCCTTTTAAAAAGAACTTCTTAAAGTGTATATCAAAGAAAAAATTATTTTGAGGCTAATTTATTATAAAAGAATGCTGTTGTAGAAAGTACGGCGTTTTTTTGATTTGCAAATCATCCTTATGACTGTAATATATGGCTTTCTCATTTGCATATAGATATTTCAAATGCTTATATCTCTGAAATAACAAGAACAAATACAAAAATACTACAACCATACTACTACAATGTTCACATATAAGTGATTTTGAAAATAATTTTTCCCCTTGATATACACTTTAAGAACTTGATGAGCAGGAAGACCAATACCCCCCCCCCCCCTAATATCAATTTCATAGCTAACTTGAATACTATGACTTTAAGAAAAAAATAATAATAATGGGGCTCTTATATAGCGCATTATCACATTGTCTCAATGCGCTTTACATTGCAGTGGAGGACTTTACGGGCTGCATATTAAGGCGCTATTAGCAGCCGTGCAGCTTACAATGATGAGTGATTTATTAGTACGTTAGTGTTATGCCTCTTAATTGGGATAGGCTGTTGAACCTCTTACACTCTTACACGAATAATTCAACAGGTTCTTTAATGTCTTTTATTTACTGCAGGTTAGGAAGGGTCGGGAGATAGGGCCTACGGTTTTAAGTCCTTGTCCGAAAAGACCTGAAGGTCTAACCAATTTGCAGATGTAATTACAAAGGCGGCACCTTCTCCTCAGTTATTTTAAGACCCTGAGTGTTGGTCCGGTCGAGGCTTGAACCACGACCTCCCGCACAACAGACCGACGCTCTTACCAACTGAGATAACCGGGTGGCGGTTAAATTTTACAATTTTGGACAAATGTTTTGGATAAATCTTATTTGTAGTCCACTGCTAATACTACGTGAAATTTGAAGATATTAGAATACTAACCATGAGTTTGGTGACCCCATTCTTGAAGTCAGCTATTGTGCTGTCACGATCAAACTGGTCCATTCCTAGACAAGTGAAAAAGATTATTAGTCATCTTCTTATTAGACAGTCCAAACAAAGGACAGATGTCATAAAACCAATGCAAAACGTGTGTTCCAGTGTACGCACAGACTGAATCATCTAAGTGGTGTCTACACGTGAATAGTTTTTAAAATATTTTGTGGAAAACTGAAATTTCATAAATGAAAAAGAAGGGACAATACCCCTTGCCTTCAAAACTAGTCTCCTAAGCAGCCGCTACTAGTGTCGTCACGCCACGCTCACTCCCCTAACTGCTTACTTAGTAAGCGTTGCATGACGACACTAATAGCGGCTGCGTAGCAGACTACTTAACACCTAAAAAACCCTAATACCCCTTGCCTTTAAAACGAAACTGGAATGTTGCGCAAAACCGACAAAACCCACTGAGGATCAAGCACAGTAAAGTGAGATGTTTGATCATCCAATGTTTGGGTTCAGCACCGTCACGGTCACGGCACAGGCCTGATGTAGTGACATGAAAGGCCAAAGAAAAGCAGACATGACGTGACAAAATGAGATGTCCATAGGTTAAGGGGCGTAGTAAGGTCTCAATTATAGGGCGATATACCATTTTCCCGCCAAATCCACAGGAATCCTGCATGAATTAATTAAATTTTGGTGCCAAAAGCAAACATTTTTTTAGGGGGGAGGGGGGAGGACGTGCAACTGGTCCCCCCCCTCCGACATTTACGACATCTACACCATGCCATCACTACAGAGGTTTTGCACCACCACGTGACGGCAGCCATGTTAGATGACAGGAACAATACACTCGTTTTACATGAGAAAGAATTTAATTCCCAAGAGCAAAGGGATTTTATTGTTCTGCAATCTAACCACAGGCAGTCAAAACTGTATTATGGGCGCTGACACGTCATAGTGCAAAACGTTTATTTGAGTCTTCTATCTTGACCTTGAAACTGAATGATTGAATTATTTAACTACTATAAGTGCAACCAAGAGGGCGAGTTTATGATACAGGTGTAAGACTCCATGGAGGACGAAAAGCCTAAAGTAACAGGTAGATCGAAATTGAATTTAGAAGTCGTACTTTCCTTAAGATATAGACTTACCTCCGTGTAATGACAGGCATGGGTAGCTTCTTCTCAGCAGATCTTTGAACAACGTATCAGCTGAATCCTGTTTCTCCACGAACACCAACACACTTCCTGGAAAACAGATAATCTGTCTTTAGCAACATATTATAATTTTACTTACTATAGCTGTACTGTATCTAGTACAGTAACCTTAAGGAGGCGTTGTGATTGGATAAATAAGACAATGGAAAACCATTCCAATGTTACGCTATGTCGCAGTAATTTTTTTGTTTGTTTTTTTGTTTTGTTTTGTTTTCGTTTGTTTTTTGTTGTTGTTGTTTATTTTTTAAACAGTAGGAACTTGTAGATAAATTGGATCACCGTGAAACGTTTTGTGAAACTGACGTTTCGGACGTTAGTCCTTCGTCGGAGCACAAAAGACTAACGTCCGAAACGTCAGTTTTACAGAGCTTTTTATGGTGATGCAATTTATCTACAAGTTCCTACTGTTCTATTCAGAAACACCGACGCAGTCCACGCTAGTTCTACTAGTTATCACCACTTTTTTTTTCGTTTACAATGATAAATAAATGAATATAATTATAATAAATATACAATAAAAGTAATATTCTGTATGTTGCAACCGTTTGTTTACCACAAGAAAGGGACAATTCACCCCCAAACAACACCAGTTATAGACATGTTCTAACCTTTCTCCTGGAAAACCCCTAACAATTCCAGCAGCTTCAGGAATTTATTGTCTTCTTCAATCACCATCTATTGGAAGACAGAAATTATTGAACCTTAGAACAAATTAATAACTTTTCTTTCAGCTTCGTTCCGGTTTTTCCATCCACAGTGCGCAAACCAACCCATGCTTCCCAAAAACAAAATCAAATAAACTAAAAAAACTACACAATTTGAAAGGGTAACTAGATTTACACAGAGTAATTTTTAGATCGAACTAGAAGTTGATTTTTGAGGAGAGAGAGAACCCGGAGAAAAATTCTTGAGGCACAGGAGAGAACCAACAAACAACTCTACTCATATACGAGTTCAAGGATCGAACCCGGGTCACATTGTGCAAGAGGCAAGCGCTTTCACCGCTAAGCCACCCGTGCTTCCTGATACAACTTCATGACTTTTTCATTCATTTCAAGCATTGTGTTTTATTTAACAAATAAAACAGCTTTTTCCGTGCTCCATTCAGTAATAAAGCACAGTTTTCGACCAATCAGCGCGCGCGCACTATCCCAACTATATAACAAAATAGCACAATTAGAAAAGTTTCGACTCACCACATGTTGCTCAACGTCTGAACAGACGACACTTCTGCCACCAACTTGAATTTCAATTGGTCTATCTAGGATTCTCCTGGCGAGGGCTTCCATTTGACGAGGAAAGGTGGCCGAGAACATAACGGTTTGTCTGTCCGGTCTGATACAGTCGATAATGCGCATGACCTGGGGAAAAGATGTTAAATAACTGAAGGTCCTGTTACATTTTGAAGCTTTTAGCTATAACTTGTGTGCAAGAGGGTTACGAGAAAAGCACCAAACCATTGGAAGTTTGTTTCTCTACTACAAAAAAAAAACAACAAAAAAAMMAAAAAAAAACACACAACAAGTTGGAAAGAAAAACTGTTTCAAGCGCATGCTCACTCCTTTGCACTAGCGATTCAAATTTGTTGACATAACGTGTTGGTATGTACTCTTATTTACCAAGGCTGTCGATCAATCAGAAAGCGAGAAAAAAAACTGCATTGAGGATGTGTTAAAAATAACAGTTGATGCTAAGAGATGACTTACGAGTGAATGTGAAATTCTGTACATGAAACAAAATATTATACACCTATTTCGAAAATCGTTGTCGCACCAAGAGCCTCAAGTAACAAGCCAAGGCTCCAGAGAACGTCGATACTTTTAATTATAATTGATTTATTCTTGGTTCATGCAAGTGGATATAGCTCTCTATTATTATCATCTCAAGCAGCCTTGCTTGGAGCAATTGGTGAAGTCAATAAATGAAAATGCACCATGAATAAACTAATTACAGCTAAAAGTACCGGCGTTGTCTGCGGTCTTGGCTTGCTGCTTGAGGCTTTTGGTGCGAAGATTTCTGAAATAGGTGTATATAAATTAAGGCTTACCTGTGGTTCAAATCCCATATCGAACATTCTATCTGCCTCGTCAAGTACTAAATATGTACATCTTCTACAGTTAGTCACACGACCTGTGGTAACAACGTTAACACAAAGTAGAGTGAATGCTCTGTTAATCATTATGAACGTATTTTTTGATGACGTCTAAAATGCCAATGTTTCGACGACCGTAAACACTAAGTGGGCATAGTAAGGCTTTATATTTTAGATATATAGATGGCAAACAGAAGGTCACTGGTTCGAATCCCACTTGGAGCTCAGAATTTTTTTCTGAAAAATTTTTATTGGATTAACATAATTTATATCTTTACTGCAATTTTCATAGACATTCCAACTCCGTGTCTCCGAGCTGCACGCTGAATTTTTTTTTTTACTGCCGTCAGTCAAAAATATGAAAGTTATCGACCGATAAGGTTTGATTGACAGCAGCGAAAAAACAAATTTCAGCGTGCAACACGCAGACACAGAGTTCGCAAGTTTATGAACATTGCAGCTGTAATAGATAAATTGTTTGGGTTCGTGTGTCAGACCATGGGAATACAAGTGTTTGTTAGCTCTGCTACTGAGTGTCACCCTTTAGAGTGTCAAAAAAGTTTAAATTGATAATCACTTCACGTAAGGGATCATTACCACTGTTAGCTGTCAGCATGTCAATCATTCGGCCTGGAGTACACACAATGATTTCTGCTCCGCGTTTGAGCTCTGCTATCTGAAATAAAGGTGGATTATATCAATATAAACAAACAAACAAACAAATAAAATTAAATAGGATTTAGCAGTGGCATTTCCACGGAGGCACTCTTCATCCACTGTACTTCCAAAAGTCCCTTTTACAGTTCCCTGTGTCATCTTGAAAGGTAGCTGTGCCTTTGCATCGAAGCGGGACGAACGGTGAGCAATGATAGAGACCTTTTTTTAACACCTTGATTAATTATTCATGTCTCCATCATTGCAAGCTCACCGTTCGTCTTGCTTCGATGCAGAGGCACAGCTACCTTTCAAGATGGCGCAGGGAACTGTGAAGGGGACTATATGAATTTAGAAGTTGGTTTTGTGGAGGGAGGAAAACCAGAGAACCCTTGAAGCGACACCAAGCACATACTACTCCAAGCCCGGTACTATAGATCTTTATTGAAATGATTATTTACACTTCAAAAAACGTTGTCGGTCAGAGATCTGAAATCTGAGACCGAAAGGAATTGTGGGTCGTAAGCTGTAAATTGTTTGTAGTTCGCAAAAAGTTAATATCTTGATATATCAACTTTGAGCGATGACCTCCACTGGCAAACTATCTGGGTAAGTGTATATTCAATTTTTAACGAGAAAACACTCAGCCCCCCACAATTCCTATCTGTCCAAGATTTCTGATTTCAGATATCCAACCGACGTTTTTTGAAATAGGTGCATATCAAATAGATGTACAAGGACCACACATACCTGTTCACTGATTCCTGTTCCACCATAAACACACACGGCACCCAAGTTTAATGGTTTAGAAAACTTTTTGCACTCTCTGTGTATCTGGATTGCTAATTCCCTCGTAGGAGTCATTATTATTGCTAAAGAGAGAGAAAAAGAAAGAGGTGGCCATTCATCTTTCATTGGAAAGGAAGGCAGGGCAGTGGGATTCTTTTGGTTACTGACACAAGAAATCTGACATCCCCCCCTCTCCGTTGTTGGATTAAAAAAATTGGTCCCTATGTTGTTAAGAAAGTTTTGTTTATCATAAAAGTGCTGTGTATTTTTATCACCTCCCCCTTCTGACTCAAATATTTTTCTGTGGACCCCCTCCCCCCCTCCCCTCTTTTTTAAAAATATTTTTCATGACCCCTTATGATCCCAACCCCAGTAAAAAATATGGAGGTTGTTTTGATTTTATGTTTTCTTGTTTCGTGTCGCAGAAATAGTTTGAGGACTTATTTTGACATGTTTTGACTTAACATCTTCTAGTTGCCCCTCAGTCAACTGCTTGTTTGCCCCCCAGTCAACTCCAAAAGTCATGTGATTGATAGTAAACAATAGACGAGGAGAGGAATAGAAATTAAAGGGAAACAATGTAATGGATGGGAAAATGGGAAAGAATGAATGTGGAATAAAGCAGCTGAGTTGACCTTCAGAACAACCAGAATTGAGGATTCAACATAATACTTTGGTTAGCATTCACATGATTTTGCCAACGGAATCCATGAAATATGAATTTTTTATTCTTAAATTTATCAAAATTGTTTCTAGTTCATTCAACACGAGAAATCTACATTGTACTCAGCCTCTGCTAGGAAAATGTTAAGCAAAAAATAGTTGACCCATAAGCCCTTTCTGGGAATACAGTCAATTCAGCTGGAAACCATGAACATTTCTTACCGATAGGACCATCGTCTCTGTCTAATGGTGGTTGATCCTTGACATGTCGAAACATCGGGATTAAAAAAGCTAAGGTTTTACCACTACCAGTCTTGGCAATTCCTGTCAAATCAGGGGGGAAAACATTAGTTGACTACATCATTCTGAACTTCAACTTTGGAGCCTACCTATTACTAGCTTGGTATACCTGTGGTCATATCTTACCTATCATATCTCTACCAGACAGGATGACTGGGATAGCCTGTACCTTGGTATACCTGTGGTCATATCTTACCTATCACATCTCTACCAGACATGATGACTGGGATAGCCTGTACCTTG